AAACTGGAGTTATTCTGTAGCTGGGCTGTAGGCAAGAGAACTAGGCTAACCAAATGATTTATCCCTAGAATTATGTAGCATTGCTCCCAACACTCCTCTGTGCTACCCTAAATGACAGGGATCTGTTCTTATTTATGGATGAATAAAATGCCACTAAGCGTCTACACTACCTGTCCTGTACCCACCCAACTTCTGATGGAGACTTAGGTCACAAACCGTGATGTGAGCAGCTAGACACCCAGAATATAAAAAAATCAAGGGCAAAAAGATAAGCAGATGACCTGAATGGACGTTCTCAAAAGGCATGCAAATAACCAGCAAGTATATGAAAAAGGGACTGCAAATCAAAGCTGCCGTGAGACACATCTCCCGGCTAGAAGAGCTGCAGTCGGAGATGGGGCTGGGGACGCACTCTCACAGAGCACGCAGTGACCCTGGGTTTGTCCAAAAAATGACAAATGCTGGTGAGAGTGTGGAGAAAGAGAAACTCTTTTTTTTTTTGGTACCGGGGATCAAACTTGGGTCCTTGCGCAATAGCCGGTGAAACCTGAGCTAAATCCCCGGTCCCCTTTTTTTTTAAGACCGGGTCTTGCTGTTAGTTCAGGCTGTCCTTGAACTCAATATGTAGTCCAGGCTAGCCTTGAATTCACGGTGATCCTCCTGCCTCAGCCTCTCAAGTGCTGGGATTACAAATGTGCACCACACTGCCAGCTTGAAAACCTTTATCTCTTTCTCATGGTGACAGGAGATGGGGCACAGCCAGTGTGGGTCTTCAGTCTGTTATCACAAACTGGAGTCTCCAGTGGGCCCCTCATTCTGAGCGGTGTCTTGGGTCCAGAAATTGCCCAAAGGCTAGGCACTGGCAAGGGTTGTTGTTTTTAAATCCATTCACACTAAAAGGAAAAAATAATTCTGAGCTTATATCCTTTCTACTTTTTTCCTATTATTAAAATGTCTTTTCTCAAAAACCAATGATATCGGGTTGGGGATTTAGCTCAGTGGTTTCACCGCCTGCTGCGCAAGCGCAAGGACCCAAGTTCGATCCCTGGTACCAAAAAAAAAGTGTTCTGAAATTTGTTTTTTTAAAAAAAAAACCAATGATAATAGATAGTAGCAGGTTTTTTAATGTGCTCACTTTTAAAGAGTTGAGAATCCTATGTCAGTGCATTTTAAAATTTGCAGGTATATGGAATTTGTAAGTTTAGACTAAAATCTTTTCATTTCAGTGGTTGTTGTTGTTGTTGTTTATTTATTTATTTTGAGACAGGCTCTTGCTAGGTAGTCCAGGCTGGCCTTGAGCTCACTATGTAGCCCAGTCTGGCCTGGAATTCACAGTGATCCTCCTGCCTCAGCCTCCCGAGTGCTGGGATCACAGGTGTGCGCCACCACACCCAGCCTTTCAGTGCAGCTTTAAAGCACCTTTTTTACTTGGAGGCAAAAGTGTGACTTAGCAAAAGTTACCTTTATGTGCTGTAAAGTAAAATCTGTATTTTGGGGGTGAGAAATTCACTAAATCAGTCTTTAGCAACCCTAACGTTTGTTGGTTTCGGCATCTTAAGGCTTTTGCAGATATGCTAAAAGTGAACAAGACTTTGAAAAGCCTGAACGTAGAGTCCAACTTCATCACGGGCGCAGGGATCCTGGCCCTGGTGGAGGCGCTTCGGGAAAATGACAGCTTGACTGAGATCAAGATCGACAACCAGGTGAGGGTCGGGGCCCGTCGCTGATCACACAGCATGAGGTGTCCACAGCTGCTCTGCTCAGGCATGGTCATCTTTGCTGTTCAGCATAAGTGTCAGCCATGCGTTGTGCCCGCCTGGCTCTGGCCTCTCTCCGGGCTAGAAAGAGAAACTGGGGTGGCCCTGGCGGGGTCTCAGGCCTCCTGTCCTCAGAGCCCCTGGTCCTTGCTCCCCAGTGCTTGGAGCCCACAGAAAGGCCTCGGGGCTCTGGAAGATGCCTGGCTCCAAGTGCCAGCCGCACCCTCAGGGTGACCAGTCTCCGGGCCACCACCGCAGCCACAGCCGGCCGCTCCTCCTGCCGCTGCAGTGTCCTGTGCCTGGGCCACCAGGGCAGGTTCACCACTTGTTAACAGTCCTCTCCTAGCAAGGCCCCGGGGTCTTGCAGTGTCCTCTGCACATCACATACCTCTACAGTCACGTGGTCACCCACGGTTGTCACACGAATTGGCTACGGTAGTGTATGTTTTGGAAATGTGTTTATTTTTCCTTAACATTAAGCTTTCTGTGTTGGCAAGTAAGCGTTTGCCTCCTCCTTACAAATTGCTGCCCTTCTCTCCAAGCCGTGAGGGCGGCTGGCAGTGCTGCATGGCGTTGCCCGCTGGCTGCATCCAGGGTCTCCGGGTGTTGCTACACCTGGTCTGAGGCCGAGTCCTCCTGGGTCCTGGGGATGACGCAGCTGCCCTCGGAGCCCGCCACACCGCTTTGACCTCTGCTGATAGTGCTAGAGAGTCTCTGCTTCCCTACTCACGCAGTCGGGACTTTGCCAATCTGCTCAGCCTTTTTCCAGCCACATGGGGATTGATTACTCTAAGACAGCTTCACTGTTTAAAAGAAAAAGAAAAACAATGTTTAAAACCAATACTGGGATAATTTGGAAATACTAGTTTTACTTTAACTTGACCTGTGGAATTACCTTTTTTTTTTACAACTAGAGCTGGAACCCAGGGGTGCTCCCCACCTGCAGCCCTTTTTTCTTTTCTTTTTGAAAAAGAAAGATCGAACCTGGGACCTTGCGCTTGTGAGGCAGGTGGCAGAACCACTAAGCTAAATCCCCGGCCCTTACTTTCTTTATTTTGAGGCAGTGTCTTAGGAAATTGCCCAGGCTGGCCTCAAACTTTCCACCCTCCTGCCTCAGCCTCCCTCAATGCTGGGATTCCAGGCACGTGCCAGTTTTTTCCGCTTTGGATGCCAGCAGACTCAGCTGTCTGTCTGGACCTTGCTTCTAGAGTCAAGGAGCAGAACTCTGATGACCAGCAGAGGAAACATCTCAAACGACCCTTTCATTTTTGTCCATCTTGCTGCATACACTTCCGGTGCCAGTAACAGTTTCCTCTCCTTCCCGCTTGCTCCAGAGACAGCAGCTGGGAACAGCTGTGGAGATGGAGATTGCGCAGATGCTGGAGGAGAACTCGAGCATCCTCAAGTTTGGATACCAGTTCACCAAGCAGGGGCCACGCACCAGGGCAGCAGCTGCCATCACCAAGAATAATGACCTGGGTAAGGTCACTGTCTTAGTTCTTTTCCCGTCTCTGGGCCACAATACCGGACGCCCACGACTCAAAGGAGGAGAGGTTCATTTTGGCTCACAGCGTGTAGAGTTTCAGTGCATAGTCGGCCGGCTCCAAGGTGGGCAGGGCAGGGGAGAGGGGCTGGCAGAGGAGGGTTACTCATGGCATGGCAGGCAGGAAGCAGAGAGAAAGAGCAAGGAGTAGGGAGACAGAGACCCAGACCCTTCCAGGGTGTGCCAGTGGTGAGCCACCTCCCACCAGGCTTCAGTTCCCAACATCACACCCAACTCTGAGCCCATCAGAGGACTAATCCAGTACAACACCCATGAATGATCTGGTGTCATACACCCGTGACATGATGTGACCCAGCCCCCCACACCCGTGATCCAATCACCTCCCCAAATCCCCACCTATGAATGCACGAGCTTGGTGGACATCTGGATACTCAACAGGCACCATGCTGTGAGCCAGTGAGGCGGGGAGAGCGTGCTGAGGGGCTCCATGTCCTCTCCACGCACTGTTCCACGGGCTTTGGCTTCACATCGTCTTTCACTGTCATCAAGGCCTTGCGGTTCTCATGGGGTTGAAGTTTCAGTTTTGTGTGTTTATTTCCCAGGCAGCTTTCTGTGCTTGCTTGGCTTCCTTTGTGCCTTCGCATCTCCTTTCCTTACATGTGGATTGTGCTTTGCTCTCTGTACTGAGAAGGCATAGCCGTGCAGGTCCTACTCCACTGTCTGAGCCTGCCTGTGCTTTTCAGTACTTAGGTTTAAATGTGGGTACATTTGATGCTTCAGTGCTTTCCATCCCGAGGTTTAGATGCTGACCTGTCTGCAGAAGGCTGGTGTCCAGCCACCACCAGAATTAATGGCTGCAACTGTGTCTGTGTAGTCGTGAAAGCACAGGGCTGAGAGGAGGATGTGCTGAGGACAAATGACTCTGTTCCACAGAGATGGGAAGGTTCCCAGCTATCAGACCCTGTAAATTCCTCCAGACACTGGGCTTATTTTATCATTTCCATTTACTGCCATGATTTGTTGAATAATGAAGTTTAAGATCATTTGTATCCTCAAGTGTGTGGGATTGTTATTTTGTAAGATTAATGTCTTTCAGGGGCCGGGGATTTAGTTCGGCGGTTCCGCCGCCTGCCCTGCAAGCGCAAGGACCCGAGTTCAATCCCCGGTACCAAAAAAAAAGATTAATGTCCTTTGGAATTTAAAGGCTATGCCTTCCTTCAATTTGTCTTTTTAAACTTCTCTCTCTCATGTAGTTCGAAAGAAGAGGGTTGAAGGAGATCGAAGGTAAACGTCCATGGGAAGAGGTGAAATTTCGCCATGGAGCCATTTAAAAACAGATACAAACTCCTTCTCCACGGGACCATTTTATCAGAGGTTTTTCATTTCCATTAACCACACAACTAATGATTTAATTGGCTTTTTTTTGGAACTGCTTATTTGGGATTCTCCAATGTGTAGTTGTTTCCTTGCTTCCAGGCGCTTCTGGCAACTCGTCCAGATGGAGGGGTGCAGGTGTCAGAGCTACTGCTGAGGCCAAGATTTGACCACTTCATACTGGGTCACCCTCTCTTTCTTACATGAACATTTTTTTAACCACTGAAAGGCATTTAGTTTAATATGTGTTTTAACCGATTACAGGAGAGGCCTACCTCTGTTTACATGCACAGCTTCGAGTTAGGCTAAATATATCCAAAGTGTTATGCTTACTGCATGAGAAGTTAGTATTGCCAGTCTTTCACTGGGTGAGAAAATGTGACCCATTTAGCACAAATCCCTTAGTTAGAGAAAAATCCCTATGGGCCGGGGATGTAGCTCAGTGGCGCCGCACCTGCCTGGCAAGTGCAAAGTCCTGAGTTCGATCCCCGGTACCAAAAAAAAAATTCCCTAAACGCACACAGCCAGCTGATTACAGATCATTGGGCAAGGGGCATCGTGACACTTTCACAGGGCATTAGCTCCTTAGCATAAGCTGTCTTTTAGCCCCTGAGCAGCCCCTCAAGCCAGAGCATAGGCAGTGAGAGGAATTAGCACACCACCTATGCTGATTATTCAACATTAATTCCATCTGTAAAGTGACTCTATTGAAAACCTGTTTACAAAGCTGTTGAAAAGATTTCCAGACATGGTAGGAAATGTTTGAATTTTAGTAAGAGAGACTTTGAAAACAGTACGTTCCTACATAAAACAATAATAACTACCCCTTTAACAAGATTATCTAACACACACAATGGTGTTGACAAATCTTAAAACCATGTATTGCTTTACCTTTAGTGTAACAAGATTACAGGATAAAAGTGAGCCTTTGGATGCATTGTGCAAATTCTTGTCCACATGATCCACTAGGCGTTCACAAACACCAAGGAAAATGTGAACTGTCACTTATACAGGTGTTTGTCATCTCAAAGACAAGCCTGTGCAAATGTGACTGAGATGATTACACCATGGTGTGCAGAGCCTTTGACTGGAACAGCGAGGCGGTGCAGGGAGAAGTGGATCCGAGAGACAGCCATGGGCACCAGACGTTGTCCTGACTCGGTGCTACGGGGCAGACGCGTCCCTGGTAGCGGTAGGGATAGCGCCCTGATGCTGACCCCTCCCTCTGAGTCTCCCTTCCTGCCTGCTCTCCATTCCAGCCCTGCTCTGTCTCCTCTCCTCTCCTCTCCCACTCTGAGCCTTCTGAAGATGACGTCCCTTGTGCCAGTGATAACTAGAGCTAAGGTGGTTGTTCTCCCAGCAGAGTGGGTGCAATCCAGAAGAGGTGCAGGGACCAAGGGTTCCCGAGTGACTCAGTGCAGTTAAAGGGAAGAGGGTGTGCATGGAGCTTGTCAGCAGAGCCCTTTCAAAATCAGACATTTACCTGGACTGTAAGTAGCACCCATACAGGTGCCTCGAGGGCGGGTCCTTTCAGATGTCTCATTTTCTTGAGAATTTTTGAGGGCACAATAAACAGAACATTCTGACATTTTGAAACCCCAAATTGTTTAGTTTACTACTATATTTCCTCATCAGTCTTGAAAAAAACATAAATACTGTTAGATGATTTTTTTAGTCTTGATTTTTTTCTTCCCTCAGACCCAATCGCTGATTGCTCAATTTTCAGAAGTTTGCACACAAGTTGCTCAACACAGCTTGGTTTTGTTTTGTTTTTGGTGGTGTGGGGGGTCGAACCCAGGGCTGCACACATGTGAGACAAACAGTCTAACACCAGGCCACATCCCCAGCCCAACACAGCCGTTATTAAACATTAAATGATATGCACTTGGAATTTTAGGATGATACTGAAGACAGTAGTAATAAATACTCAAATACTCCCTTTACTGCTTCCGATATTCGGGAGATCTTTGTGTCTGCAGGTGGAAATACCACCTCCAGGCGCTCTCTCATGGCTCTTCCAACTCTGTTTAGTAACTTCTTGCTCGAGGTGGGAGTATTTATACTTTGGAAATCAGTGATGTGTTGCAGATTGGGACTTTCCTCTTCTTATGAGCAGTCATCAGCAAGTGCTGTTTTGTTACAGAGCTCTGTAAGTGCTGATTTCCTCATGTGCAGGTCTGAGCCTTTCCCTTCTCGCTTGCTCTTCCCTGCCTTCACCCTGAGAACCGAGCGCCCCACAGTGTCCTCGCAGCTGTGCAGTGTTGACAAAGCCTTGGCAAAAAGCAAGAAAAAAATTCGGCATTGGATCGTGGCTATTTCACCCACACAAGCAGCTGTTGGTAGTGTTAGTGCAAGCAAGCAGGAAATTGTAAAATACAGCACTGTTTTTAGCTTATAAAATAGTTGGGTCACATATAATAGAGTTTGCGAGATCAAATATTTATTACTAATCACTTTGTCTTATTACCTGTTATTTGTGAAGTAGCCTGGCAGATGACTTTCCACTAGTGTTTGCATCTTGGAGATGACTATTAGAAGTAAATGTACATTTTGGGGAACCTATCACATCATTTAATTACACCTTCATCTTCCATCTGGTGAAAGTGACTGAGAGGAAGTCTGTTCCTGATGATTAGCATGATTCCCTTACTACGTGTCATGATGGGGCAGACTGTAAATATTTGTATATGTGTATGCTTTGCTCAGTACTTTGTCAAGCTCTTTGCCAATACCTGGACACCCAATTGGAGGGAAAGACTATGTCCCAAGGTGCATCCCTTCCCCCTTAGGGTTGTGCAGTAAAATTGGTCCCTGGTCCTGTCCCCAGCACCTGTCGCAGCAGACAGGATGTGGAAGAGGAACCTTTGCGGTCTAGGAATCATGGGGTGAGTGCAGCCCTACCTCTTCCCCTCTGCCTCAAGTGTGGCGGAAGCACTTTCATCCTTATGAGCATGATCAAACCCCTGACGTCGTCTTTGGCCGGCATCCTGTAAATACGTGTACGTGTGTGTGTGTGTGTGTTTGTGTGTGTGTGTGCACGCGCGCGCGTGCATGTATCGTCAGATATCCAAGTAGGTATCTGGCTACATCTGGACACCTGATTGAAGGGAGGTGCTCTCCCCCACATCTTTCCCTGCCCTCTGTCAAGTCACCCCAGGCCCAGGCTAAGTGTGAATCTACTCCTGGAGTCTGGTAGTTTGTCCCCAGCCTCCACGTCTCACAGCTGCATGGAGAACAGCTCTTAGGAAATAAATGTAGAAGCCTAGAAATCATCTCATTGATCTAGCATGCGACTGTCCCATCTGCCTAAAGCGTGCGAGCGGCGTTTCACCCTCAGCCGTACAATGCAGCCCCTCCTCCCACTCCGGGGCACACTGTATATAAATATTTTGTACATAAAGATCAGAAAATACGGTCCTGAGGTGTCTGGCTCCCTCTAGACCACCGAGTGAAGGGAGACCTCGCTCCCAGCCTTGTTTCTTGCCCCTCTCAGGGTCTAGAGAGGCGCCCGTGGCTCACCCACCTTACACCTCACCTTCCGGTAACAGCCCATCTCTACCTACAAACCAGAGCCCACGCCAGTGTCTACTCCTCGGGTCCACTCCGGGGAAGCTGTCACAGCGACCCACGGAACAGCTGCCATGCGGAAGGGGCGCCTGGGAGAAACCAGATGTGTCCCCCAGCACTAGGGAAACCGCTGTCCCCCAGATCACTGCCTTGAGAACAGTTTGGTGCTCGAAACCTGAAACCAGTGTGAAGCATCCACCTGGTCTCCAATTAAAGACGGTCCTGGGGAGGTTACAGAAGCTTCTGCAAATACTTCTTTTGCATGGATAAGATGTACTCGGCCCTCTCCTAGATACTGTGGAGGAGACAGAAGAAGGAATCGTGGCTTTATAGAATTTTCTGGTTGGCAATTCAGGGTGGACGGAGTGCCTTTTGTGAAGTAGATGCCCTCTGTAGTTCATATCTTGGTGGCCTCAGCATTAGCGGGCAGAGGACAGGAGCTGGGACAGCCGGCCTCTGTGGAATGTTGCCTGGCATGGTAGAGCTGTTTGGAGTCAGGTTGTGAGTCGTGGTCCTGAAGCTCCCTTCCCTGTTTCCTCTGATGCCGCAGTGCTCACTGATTTCCCTTCAATGATCAGAGAACCAAGAGGGAATGTCCTACGCTCCCTTCTCTGAACTTTCCCTTTCACTCCCCAGTGTTCCTCACTTCCGCTTGTTCTCAAGGCTAAAGGACTGAGACACAGGGGAAGATGTGGGGTGCTTGCAGCACCTGGCTGGGGCCCCTGGATGGACAGCTCACGGTCAGCCCCCGGGAACCAGCTGGCCAGAGAAAAGTGCCCAGCGCCCCAAGGATACTGCACTGTGTTCTTGGTCCCCCACTCGAGACCTGACTGGTTTTGCTTGTGGTTCCGGAGGTGGAGATTAGTGATGGGGAGGGGCTGGCTGACAGGAGGAAGAAGGATGGAATTAAAGATTTACATCCACTAATGGCAGAGCCCAGTTCCACTCCACTCGCCTCTCTCCCAGCTGCTTATCATGGCAGTGACTAAACAATCCGTAGATGGATTTGCAAGTTTTTAATTTGCAACCTCACTTTGGGTACTGTTCTAACAGCAGTACCGTGTGGCAAGGCTTGGGCCAGTTTGGGACTTGGAAGAAGGTGAAGGGGAGGGCTGAAGACCTGGGTGAAGGGAGTGACCAGCTAACCAGACTCCCTGAGGAGTCTGTCACCCACAGCAGTCGTTCTGAGGACAGTGGCTCAGCTGGCTGGGGTGGCAAAGGGCGCCCCAGACAAACAGAGAGACTGAACCCCATCCCCAACACTTAGCAGGGATCTGATTATGGGCAGTTCATTCAATTGCCCCCAATTATAGACTCTCCAGGGGGAGGAACACTGGATTTGGAGTCAGGAAACCTGGAGACTTGACTCCACACTTCCCAAGCTTGGTGGCTCTGGCAAGCCACATGGTCTCCCAGGCCTGAGGTTCCTCAGGTGTAAAGTGGAGTGATGTCTTCATAACTACCTCACAGAGCTGCGGTGCGACTGTAACTGGATTAGCGGATGAAAACGCTGTAGAAACTAGAAAGCACTACACAAAAGTGGGAGATCCTTGTTATTATCAACTTGTTAATGTGTCCCACTGCCTCTTGAACCTGCTTTATTCTGAGCGACAGTGACATCTTCCACACCTTTTGGAGTAGGGGGAATTGCAGCATGGTATGAGGGAGGGACTAGAAGTATTTCACTTGCACCCCAAAGGAGAGAGAAGGTTGATGGCAGGTGTCATTGCCAGGGTTGTACGTGATGGGGTGTTTCCCTACATTGTGTTGACAGTACCTTGGCAGAATCCTTGCAGAGGGCTTAGGGCTGGACATGGGAGGCAGTGAACGGTGGCTAAGAATTGAGAGGAGGATCTGGGGTCTGCTACCTTCCGGCCTCCACTGGGCTGCGGGAGGCCAAGACCTAAGGTATCACTGGGGGCCCTGGAGAGATGACCGGCCCAGGCTCCAAGAATTGCCCTGCCTTCGCCGTGAGAGACAAGGGGGTAGAGTGCCACCCATCACCATCAGCTGGCCAGGGAGCAGCTACCATCACCAGCAACCCCAGCCCCGGCCAGCATTGTTTCTACTAAGGAAGGAAGGGACTTAGCATCGAGGCCTTTTATCAGCACTTGGAGGCAGGAAATGCATCTCACCAATCTTTGTATCTTTCATACCATCTAGTAAGGTGCCTTGTACATAGTTGGTGCTTAATAAATGTTGCTTGTGCTTCATTGGCCTCCAATCCCACAAGAATTATGCTCCATTGCCCACCAGGTGATATTTTTAGAAAACGACACTGATTAGATGCCAGCTGCATGCACCTTTGGGGAGGCTGTCCGTCCGTCTGGCCTTCCTTTCAGCTGGGAGGGGATTAGATGGGCTGTCTCTTCCCCCTCCCAGACTTGCAACCCTGTGATCCTGAATCGTTCTCGTTCCCTCTGACCAGGGTGGCCAGGGTTCCCAACAGCTTTTGCTGTCTTTGGTTCTGGGTGCACAGTTCTGGATTTCTCAGGATAAGGTAGGGCTGGGGATGTTACTCATGATAGAGAGCTGGCCTCACAGGTGCAGGCTGGCTCCGCAAAATGAAAAAAAAAAATGTTGAAGAGGGGTAGGAAACCAGAGAGGTTATTTTAAAACATTATATTTTCTCCCCAGAATCAGTGGGAAAAGAGAGGTGGAAATGCAGAGGAGGATGCTGAGATAGCACAGCAGGTTCTCCGTGGGCTTTTCTGTACATTCGTGTGCGTGTGCATACTTCTGAGCACAGACTGGGCAGCACAGGGCAGCAAGCCAGAGCACACTGTGCTTTGGGAGCAGCCAGCCCAGGATGGAAAACTATGGACAGCTTCAATGCGGGGAGATAGGAATTGGCTGTTCGATGAGATGAGATGCACAGAAATACACTTTGAAAGGGAATTTTATTTTAGTACCAAATGTTGCCAGTGACAATCCTTAGTTAAGAAATGATTCTGACATAAAATTCTTATCTTTGCCATTTTGTTTTAAGGGGAACAAACTCTATATACATGGAAAATAATACCTATATTTTAATTAAGCCTTCATCTTAATTCTGTTTCATTTTTTTCCAGGAAAATGAATAAGCAGGATTTTTTTCTTTGCATTTGAAAATGTAAAATACTTGCATGCCACCAACCTGTATATCTTACCAGTTCAGATGCCTGTAATGTGTGACCTTTTGTGTATTGTTCAGTGTACTGTTTTGAAGAGAACAAAAGACAATACTTTTGTAAACTGTAAATGGTTTAAACTTGTATTGGCAACATCTGTTTGGCTAAGTAGTTATTGAAAAAACCCATGTGGTTTTATTTTTCATTTGAAACTTTTCCATCAAAGCCAGCCAACTGGTTAGGAATAAAGACTAATTTGCCAGGGCTGGGGATGCAACTCAGTGGCAGAGTACTTGCTGATGCCCTGGGTGCAATCTCCAACCCTGAAAAAGAGACTAATTTGCCTTTTAAATGTGAAGTTGAACATTTGTGGTAAATGTGTAAAAAAGCAAAATGTATGAAGTGTTAAATATTATTATTCTGATACCCTGGTTGGCCCAAAAAGGTGCAATTTTTGGCCCTTTGGAATTAGCCCCAGACGTAATGCTAAGGTAAATGTAAACTGTTTTAATTAACCACAGTCTTTCTGCTTTCAAAGATGTAATATATTCATTTGTGTCTGGAATGAGGTTTCTAAATGAAAATGTAAAGAATACTGGGAATTAATAAACTCAACTTCAAAAGTGGAAGTAAAGACTGTTTTATCTGGCTGATTTTTAGACAGTGTCTCTTCAGAATAACTGGGTAATGTTAGGCTCTTACGTTAGATGAGCACTTTTGCAAATAGAACTATAAAGTTCCTTAATTTAATACAAAAAAGTAGACCATCACAAGTAGCCACAGGAAGAAGTCAGAACTTGTTATCAAAACAAAAAGGTACAGGGCCAAGGATTTAGCTCAGTGGTTCTGGTGTCTGCCTTGCAAGTGCAAGGTTCTGAGTTCCATCCCCACTACCCAAAACACAAAACACAAAACTAAAAGGTACACTTAGGTGACAATTAAAATTTGTCTGAATAAATGAGAACAGGAATACAGGTAACTAAATATATGGTTTAGTGCAGTGGTTCCGGCACCTGCCTAGCAAGCGCAAGGTCCTGAGTTCGATCCCTGGTACCAAAAAAAAAAA